TCGCCCCTCGCGGCTGACCCGAGGCCGGAGCGGCGGTGGCCCGGGCAGCAGGACGCGCTGCCGCCCAGTTCGAGCGTGCGCGGGCGGCGGCGTGCGTTCACCGAGTCCGGGCGCAGCAATTCAGCCGCTGGTCGTCCCCCCGAGCTGTCCCCTCCCGCGGCCTCTCTGTCCCTCTCCCTCTGCTCCGTCCCTCTCTGGGTCTCTCCCTCCCCCTTTCCTCCTTTCATTCTCTTCCCCTTTCCCTCCCTCTCCTTTCCTCCCTCTCTTCTCTCGCCCTGACACCCTTCTTTTCTTTATTTATCGATTCAGCATAGGCTTACAAGGCCTTTCCGGCACTTGGAATGAACCCGCAAATCAAACAGGTCCCTTAGTCTCCTGGAAAACTCATTCGTTAATACAAAGAATGATCGTGGGCCTGGCCCTGCGCGCTGTGGGAGCCACAGTCCAGCCGGAGTGGACAGTGCCCAGTAATCGCAGGTCTAGATCTACGCTCACCTGCCGGGCAGAGTGGCGGGGAGGGACAGGACAGGACAGGACAGGGTGAGGGGGGAGGCCTCTCTGAGGGTGATGTTTGAGCCAAGGCCTGAGGGAGACAAATGAGCTCACAGTGGCCACGGACATGTTAGGGCTCCAGGGGAGCTGTGCAGGGCACGTTCAGGGAACACGGAGTGGGCCGGCCGGCCCACAATCCAACTGTTCTGCCTCACAATCTACCTGTTGCTGCCCCAGAATCCACCTTGCCTCTGTTCCAGAACCCACCTGGTTCGTGACCTAAGAACCTACCTCTACCACGCCTCAGAATCCACCTCACCCCTGTCCCAGAACCCACCTCTCCCCCCGTCCCAGAACCCACCTCTCACCCATGTCCCAGAATCCACCTTGTCTCTGTTCCAGAACCCACCTCTACCATGTACCAGAATCCACCTCTATCATATCCCAGAATCCACCTTGTCCCTTTCCCAGAACCCGCCTCTACCGTTTCCCAGAACCCACCTCTACCCTGTCCCAGAGCCCGCTTCTCACCGCTGTTCCAGAATCCACTCCTAATGTGTCCCAGAATCCAGCTTGTCCTTGTCCCAGAACCCACCTCTACGGTGTCCGAG